TGAACTAATGCTGGTAACTGCCAACATCTTGCACTTAATCTCTAGCTCAGTGGTTCTCAACCTTCCTAATGCCTGACCCTTTAATACAGTTCCTCATGTTGTGGTGACCCCTAACCATAAAATTATTTTAGTTGCTACTTCATAACTGTAATTTTGCTAGTGTTATGAATCGTAATGTAAATATCTGATATGCAGGAGACTCCAAAGGGGTAGTGACCCACAGGTTGAGAACTGCTGCTCTAGCTGGTCAGTGAATGTGGCCTTGTTCTGTAGTTTAAAGTGCATGTCTTTAAAAGGCTTCTCATAACATGTTCAAGTTTGGGGAGGAATTAATGAACAACCCTCATTTACAACTTGACTTTGTATTTATTATCTTATTTACTTATTTCTTTCAAAAACATTCAAAGGTGGGGTATTATCCACATTTTACATGTATAGAAGTACAGGTATGCCTTGTGGCTGTGCTTTATGTATAGTGAGGGTTTTGTCTGTGTGTGTGGTTTTTTTTTTCTACAAATTGAAGATGTGTGGCAACCCAGCATTAAGCAAGTCTGCTGCCATAATTTTTCTAATAGCATATGCTGATTTTGTGTCTCTACATCACGTTTGGTAATTATTGCTATATTTCAAGCTTTTTCATTATTATACCTGTTATGGTGATCTGTGATTTTAATTGTTTTGGGGTGCCATGAATCATGCCTGTAAAATATGGGGAAGGTAATCAATAAGTGTTTTGTATGTTCTGACCATTTGCCAGTTGGCTGTTCCCCTATATCAAGGGTCCTCAAACTTTTTAAACAGGAGGCCAGTTCACTGTCCCTCAGGCTGTTGAAGGGCTGGACTGTGGGTCCTGAGATGAGTCGGCTGCTAAGCAAGACAGCTAGTGGTGGCAAAAACACCCAGCAGGCCAGATAAATGTCCTGGGCGGGCCACATGTGGCCTGTGGGCTATAGTTTGAGGACGCCTGCCCTATACTGTCAAATAAGTATGTGGCATTGAGCAATTCCTTTGTCTCTTTGGAGTCAATGTCTTAGGCGTCCCACACAAAAAGAAGGGAGAGAATTATATAATCTCTAAGGTCCTCTGTAATTCTGACATACCATGGATCTTTTCCTAATGCTGGATTTCTGGGATTCTAGCCATACCTTTTCTTCTTCAATTTATTTTTTATATCAGAGTATTACAGGGGCACACTCACATTACATCATTTGAATTTGTACACTTGAAGTTGATGTTATAAGCTTGCCCTTTACCGAGAATATGTGCATTGCACCTGTTAGGCGTGGGTTTCCTTTTCCCCTCAACTACCTTTGCATAGGCACAGACTATAGCATCTCATTGCAGTTTAGTTATTAAAATGAGAATCCTGATTTAGGTTCTAGATTAAACCAACTTCTAGCTCCCTATGCAATAATTTAGTGTATATCATGGGGAAAATTTATCAGTAATCAAGTGTAAAATTGTAGAGACATCTGAAAATAGTCTTAGGGTACTGTTTAGCATTGATTTTTTACTTACAAGCTTTAAAGTTATTGGCAAAGAAATCTGGAAAATATTCTTCTTAGCAAAGTATCCCAAAAATGAAAGAAAAAGTATCCAATGTACTCAGCACTACTATGAAACTAATTTATAGGAAAGCTATAACCCAATTATAGCCCAGGAACATGGGGAGAGGGAGGGAAGAAGATGGGGGAGGCTGGGTGGAGGGAGGGTGATTGGTGGGATCACGCCTATGGTTCATCCTATGAGGGTACATGTGAATCTCTCTAAATGTAGAATATAAATCTCTTAACACAATAACTAAGAAAATGACATAAAGGCTATGTTAACTAGTTGGATGAAAGTATTTCAAATTATATATAGCAACAGCACTCTGTACCCCATGATAGCATTAATGTACATAGATATGATTTAATAAAAAAAGAAAGAAAAGAAAAAGAATGCTGCTAACATATCTCCAGTCAGGAGGGGATGGGGATGCCTTCTCAGGGAAGTTAGTATTTCGGTAAGAGGCGGCTCCATTAACTATCAGGCTAATTCAAACTTATGATCAGGGGATTTAACACTTCTATGTACAAATCCATCTGGAATAGATAATTTCTGAAGCCCTTTATAGTTTTCCTATACTTCCATAAGGATTCTCCTTTCTATCCTCTTCTAGCAATCCAGGAAATGATTTCTCAGTTCAGTTTATGGATCTATTTCCAACAAATTGAAATAGGCTATCCAGGGTTGAGTGAGATCACCCATGGTGAGAGTTAAGGGCTTATGAGAATGGGATTTACACAAAATCAGTTGAGCCACCACAGCTTTCCCCCTCCACCCCACAGCCATGTCAGATGGATTCAGAACATTGGTGGATCGAGCCAGTGGTGGGCTGTTAACTTGACAGGATGTCTGTGCTTACTGATGTCAGTCTGTTGGCTCTCCACTACACTTTCCTTCTTTCTTCCGCCTTCCCAGTGAGGCATCTTTCCACTTCTTGTGATCTGTCCACTTTCCCAGCCAGTCATCTCTACTCTTGCCTCCGTTCCGGTGCCACTCAGGCCAAAGGTTTCCTTATAGCTTTTGTCTGATGAGAGTGCCAAATTTTTGTTGTTAAAATTTATATTTGAGACGGGCGCAGCAGCTCATGCCTGTAATCCCAGCACTGTGGGAGCCTGAGGAGGGAGAATTGCTTGATCTCAGGGGTTCAAGACTTGCCTGAGTGAGAGTGAAACCCTGACTCCACTGGAAAAACCCAGCCAGATGCTGTGGGGAGCTCCTGTCATTTCAGTGGCTTCCAGAGACTGAGGCAGCGGGATACTCACAGCCCAAGTCTGAGGTTGCAGTGAGCTATGATGCCATTGCACTCTGCTCAGGGCATAGGGTGGGACTCTGTCTCAACAACAACAAAAAAAAACAACGAAAGCAAAGAAATAAAAATAAAAAATAAGCAAAGGAATAAAAAAAATTATATTTGAATAATGCATTTGAGTGCATAGTCTGCTGTTTCCAAAAAGAGAAAACAAATTTTTAAGACTTCTAGATGTAAAGCATTAAGCCCAATAATTTTAATATATAATTTAATATTAATACAACATATCTGTGAAGTTATTTGAATTTCAAAGATGCTATCTGCTATTGCTGTTACTGGAGGTGTTATATGGTTTGCTTAATGTCACACAACTAAAAACCTCGAACACATGTGACCAAACTCATGGAACCTTGTTCCCTTTCCTTATGTGTATCTGTTTTATGATTTGATATCTTAGCTACCTTGTAAGTTAGGCAGGGGGAGGGTTACTTGCTTTGCTTTATTTTATTTTCTGCTCCATTATAATGCCTAAAACAGTAATAGGCACATAATTAATACTCACTAAAAATACATTGAATGATTAAGTGAATTGAATTGGTTTATAAATTAAGGAAACTATGGTTCGAAATGACTTTTTCAAGTTTGTCAGCCAGAGAGTGGCAGTTTAGAGTAAGAACCATTCAGTTCAAATGTTTCTACTACTCTGTAGGTCTTTCTCAGGGTCTTTTCAAAACAAGAACCAGCTCACTGCTAAGGATAAATATTGGTGGGGAGACATACTGACTGTCTCTTAGTACACTCCTGACCTGGTATCTTGTGACTTTTATACCTCTGATCAACTGGATGGTAGGAATAGTTAGTATACATTTTTTTTTTTGAGGCATAGTCTCACTCTGTCACCCTCAGTAGAGTGCCATGGCAAGATAGCTCACAGCAACCTCAAACTCCTGGGCTCAAGAAGTCCTGCCTCAGCCTACCAAGTAGCTGTGACTACTGGCGCCCACCACAACGCCCAGCTAATTTTTGTTTTCAGTAGAGAAAGGGGTCTTGTTCTTGCTCAGGCTGTTCTCAAACTCTTGAGCTCAAGGCCTCCCAGAGTGCTGGGATTATAGGCATAAGCCATCATTCCTGGCCCTATTATACATTTATTAAAGTGTAGTTTCTGGGATCAGGTTAAAAATGGGGAAAACTGAGGCCCCAAAAGATATGTTACTGTAGGTTGCTTAATGTTCTCCCCCAAATCAAGATTATACCTGGCACTTCAGCCCAGGATTTGTAGCTCATGGTTCATAACTTGATTCTAATCACACTTCTTGACCCTTGGCAACAGCCATTTGTTTCACTATACCTTTCTCCTGAACTTCCCACAGCCTTTCTTTATTTCTAGCACTGTCAAAGCTCCTTCTCAACAAGTGAAAATATCAGTCTCACTCAGTGCCTGGGCCTGATTAGGTGGTTACTAACATGCCAATTCCTCAAAACACTGCAGGAGACAATGAAACTGGAGAAGCAGGAAATAGCTGAGGGACACTAGAGAATCCAAAAAGTTGGATTAGACTCCTGTCTTTGCCTCTCATTAGCAACATGACGGGGGGAATATCTGATTTCCCTCCTGAGTTTGCGTCCCTGTGTATGAAATGAGAGAGATTAGGGAGGGTCTTAAGAGTCCTTTTAGTAGCTTTGACAATTGATGGACTCCTACTGCTCTGGGTTGTCCTGTCTCCATGGGGTGGTAGGGGCAGGCTAGATACAATTCAAAGGTCCATTTGACTCCTTTTTTCTGTGAACTTATGTTTCTTTGGGCTAGAAGAGAAGTGAGTCTTCAGTGACATTTCGTTTCTTTATTTTAAGGCTGGTTTATTCATGCAACACACTATGAACAATCAGCTGTACGCCAGGTACTGTTCCCAGTGACGTTCTGTTCAGAATTTCTGCTTGTGTCTCTCCCCTGCTCAGATGAAGCCGAAGCATATCCCTATTAAAACTCATGCTGGAGTAAGAGCTCACATATCGACCACTGTCTGCCTCCTAGACAGGCAATTGTTGTGACAAATAGGAAGTGCTTGCCGTTTGGGTTAAGATATAGGGCAATGTAACTGGTCCAGTCTATTGTTTGGAATCGACTTGAGTTGAAGTATTTACACATGTAATTTTCCCTATTAAGAACTATGACTTCCCTTCTCTTTTCCTTGCCCTGCCCTAGACTCTCTCCTAAGCATGCCCCAGATATTCCTGATGACAGCACCGACAACATCACTATCTTTACCAGAATCTTGGATCGTCTTCTGGATGGCTATGACAACCGACTGCGACCTGGGCTTGGAGGTCAGTTATTATTTTAAGATCTTCTTTTTGGCTGTTGTTATCAAAAAGATAATGAGGTTCGTGTAAAGCTGAGTTTCTTCCCTATGAGCACTAGAAATTAGTTCTAATCCTTCCTTTCACTGGATTATTTCTCTGATCTGATTTTAGAAGCTTCCAGATTTCACTTGGGCAAATACATCGGGAGCAAGATACAGTCTCTGACTTAATGGTTTGATTAACAATCTTTTTGACTTTATGATGAGTTTATCAGACTTAGCCTGATGCATTTCTTTTTTTTTTTTTTATTGAATGGTAACTGTGTACATTGATGCACTTTGCGGGTACAGTGTGGTGTTTTCATACATAATCCAAGACACTTCCATCAAACTGGTTAACATAGCCTTCATGTAACTTTCTTAGTTATTATGTCAAAACATTCATATTCTACTCATATAA